GTTGAAGCCAGCTCTACAAAATGGTACCTGAAGCTTCTCGGGAAGCTATCCATATAAGGAGGTTATTAAAGAAACATTCGATACATTTTTTTGGGACACCCTGTACACTTACTCCCATGAAGTTTTTTTTTCTGTCATTACAGCTTATTTCTAGTAATCTCTAGTAATCTACTAGGTTGACCCAAAGTTTTGTTGCGCCGTCTTCAAAAAATTATAACACTTTCTTATCATATGATCATCGTGGCATTACCAATAAAAAGGGTGAATTTGTACAATCCAATCTCATTGCTAACTCCGTAAGCTCTAACTGGGGAAATAAAATGTAGAAAAATAATCTCTCGAGGTTTAGGAATCAAGGCAAGCCCGTTAAAATCCTTGAAACTATGCAGTAAAGTATGAGACATTGAAAAATGTAAGTTCTCTGCCCTCCTCTTTGTAGCTAAGAAAAGTTCGCTTGCTTCGGAGCTCTTCTTCAAAAAGCTAGAATTTCGAGAAAACACAGAAAACGGGACAATTGATTTTTTGTGATCGGAGAAGCCCGATCGGACCAAACTTCGCTTAGTTTATAAAAAAGGAATCTGAACTTATGTTATTGACTGTTTTTGATTTTACTACATATTTTTGAGTTTGATGGGGTTGTCTCGAATCACCAGACCCCAAGAAATCTCCTTTTTCTATTTTTCTGCAACGAGAGCTCAATATAGAGATTAGATAAGGTGGCTTTTTCTATTGATGTTGATTTCATGCAAGAACTTCCTGACAGGTAGAAGACGGAAGTTTCTGTTCAACCTATCGTTGAGCCATAACTTACTTATTTTGCATTTCCAGTCGTCTGAATATTCTCGCCTAAAAGGCGGAATACAAAAACCTTTGATGAATACTTCATCACAGAAAAGAATTACGGATCCTGTCGTCTCTTTGATAACGAGAGAAAAACAGGACTCACAGGGATTCGCGCACATGGCAGCTTAATTTCATTTTTCATTTTCTTGCAAGAGTAATGTATG